GGGCTCAAGTAATTTTTTTGACCATTGTTAACATTTGTGATGGTCCTCTCCATTCTGGTATGACTAATTTGAGATTTGTGTATTATATTGAAGTTATACTGCATACCTGCTTAACCTTGTAAGAATTTATTCCTTTTATTAAATAGGTTGCATTACTATCAATTCACAAGCTGTGAATATTCCATCTGGCAGGTATACCTCATGGTTTTTAATCATTCCCCTCTTGGTACCATTTCTTCTAAATTTTACTGTTGCAAAAATATTTCGTGGGAGGTACTGGGGGAATAGCTCAGTGGTAGAGTATGCTCAAAGCCCTCAGTTTAATCTCAGCACCACACAAAAAATATGTATATTTGGGGGGTGGCTAGGGACATATATATCATATATATGTGACATATATATGCATATAGATAGATAGATTTCTTGGGCTGGGAATTATAGGTCAGTGGTAGAATACTTGCCTAGCATGTGCAAGGCCCTGAGTTTGATTGTCAGCATGCATGCATATATGTATTTATATAAATATATGTAACACATGCATATATATATACATACATGATATATATATATATATTTGTTCTTTTGTGGGATGTACCAGGGATTGAACTCATGAGGCACTCAACTACTGAGCCATATCCCAACCCCTATTTTGTGTTTTATTTAGAGACAGGGTCTCACTGAGTTACTTAGTGCCTCACTTTTGCTGAGGCTGGCTTTAAACTTGTGAGCCTCCTATCTCAGGCTCCTGAGCCACTGGGATTACAGGCATGTGCCAACACACTCAGCCTTATTTATTCTTATATATATATTTCTTCAAACAAAAAATGTTCTTCAAATATCTCATAGGAAATAGCTTTGTCCTAATTTAAGATTGTTCCCTGAAATTCCCAGAAAGGAAATCCCTGGATCAAAAGGCTTGGGTGGATGTGGTGGTAGTCCTAGGAACTAAGGAGGCTGAGGTAGGATGATCAAAAGTTTGAGACCAGGGCTGGGGATGTAGCTCAGTGGAAGAGCGCTTGCCTTGCATGTGTGAGGCACTGGGTTCAATCCTCAGCACCACATAAAAATAAACAAATAAAGGCATGCTACACAACTACCAAAAAATAATAATAAAAAAAGTTTGAGACCAGCCTCAACAAATTAGCAAAACTCTCTCTCAAAATAAATAAATAAAAAGGGCAGGAGATGTAGCTCTGATAGAGCACCCTGGGTTCAAATCCCAGTTACCTCCCAGTAACATTTTTTTTTAAAGGCCTGGAAATTATTAAGGCCTTTAATGCAGACTGCAAAATTGCTTTCCAAATCCTTTAGCAAGTCATTTCCAAGAGAATTTAGGAGTACCCATTCCTCTAGCCACAGGATCTTTTTTTTTTTTTTAAACATACTTTTTGTTGTTGTTGTTGTTTAAACAGAGTCCTGCTATGTTGCCCAGAATGGTCTTAAACTCCCGGGCTCAAGCCTTTCTCCTGTCTTAGCCTCTGGAGTGCTGAGACCATAAACATGAGGCACCACAATTGGATTTTGAAATTTTTTTTTCTTCTTCTTTTTTGGTACCAGGGATTGAACTCAGGGGCACTTGATCACTGAGCCACATCCCCAGCCCTATTTTATATTTTATTTAGAGACAGGGTCTCATTGAGTTGTTTGGTGCCTTGCTTTTGTTGATGCTGGCTTTGAAGTTGCAGTCCTCCTGCCTCAGCCCACCTCACCCCCCCATTACAGCAACCTTTTATATTTTGAGACAGGGTCTCACTAAGTTGCCCGGGGAGGGATTGAACTTGTGATCCTCCTGCCTCAGCCTGCCAAGGCACTGGGATTATAGGTCTGCACCAAGACACCAGGCTAAATACTTTTAATGTTTTATAAATAAAGCTCTCCATCTATTTCTTCTGATTTTTTTCATTTGCTCTAATCCTAGAAAACCATTCACTCAGGCAATGGCTTATTTTCCCTCAGGTTCAAGAATTAATGGAGATGCCTGACCTGTTTTGTCATCTTTTTGAAAACAAAGAAGAGGAAAAGATTATTTTTTTCTGCATATATTTGACTGTTCTTTTCTTTTTGGGGGGAGTACCAGGGAACCAGAATTTTTTTTTTTGAATCCAGAAATTCTTAACCACTGAGCCACATCCCCAGCCATTTTTATTTTAAGACAGGGTCTGACTAGATTGCTTAGGGCCTCCCAAAATTGCTGAGGCTGGCTTTGAACTTGTGATCCCAAGATGCTGGGATTGCAGGCGTTTGCTACTGCACCCACCTTATATTTAACTTTTTTTGACTCATTTTTTAATTAGTACCTTGAAATATGCTCAACGGAAGTGGGGGCTGCAGGAGAAAGTGTGTACATGTATCCGTATCCAAAACCCTCTGGAAGAATATGCACCCAAAATGCCAACAATGGTTATCTCTGGTTGGTGGGAGCAAGGCTGAGATGGATTTGTTGTTCTTGCCTGCCCAGCACTCCTATTTCCTTTGGAAAAGATAACTTTCATTCCTGTGATTCTGGTGTGGCTGTCCATCATGTAACACTTGCCCAAAATAGTACCTCATTGCCCTAACAGCATTGTGGGGCCCAAGAGGGAGGCATGTCATTCAGTGGCTCAAGCAGAGCCAATCAGAATCCTTCTTTGAGAGTAGGTGAAACTGAGGGTAGTTCTGCTGGGTGTAGTGGGAAATTAGGGCCTACCACTCTATGTTTCCTGCCAGGTAGAGAATATTAACTGACAGAGGAGGAAAAACTTAACATGCAAAAAGAAATTGAGACAAGGAGAGATGAGAGAGAAAGCAAATTCTAAGAGCACTGTGTCTCTAGTTTCAGTCTCCAAGATCCTGGTCCTTGGTGTTTTTTCTTGAATCTTGTGCCATCTCTGGTCTGGTGAACCATAGATTCCTGTGTATGTGTATATATATATATATATATATATATAATTAGAAACCTGGTCTTGCTAATTGCTTAGAGCCCTCCTAAATTGCTGAGGCTGGCTTTGAACTTGTGATCCTTCTGCATCAGCCTCCCAAGCCACTGGGATTACAAGCGTGTACTACCGTGCCCCATTGAACCAGAGATGATTCAATCATTGAGCTACATCCCCAGACCTTTCTGTTTTTCATTTTGACACAGTGTTTTGCTAAACTGTCCAGGCTGCCTTGAACTTGCACTCCTCCTGCTCAGCCTCCCAAATTGCTGGGATTACAGGGGATTACAGGTGTGTCCCCCTGCATCCAGCTCATAGATTCCTCTTTGATGAAGTTGGTTTAAAGCTGGGATTCTGTTACCAGGCAAGTAAAAGAAACTTACCAGGGGCAAGGATAGTCTGTGTGTTCTTAATATTTTATGTAATTTTCTTGCAGTGACCCATGTATTACTTGCTTACTAGAAATATTTAAAAAAAAGAAAAGAATGTCAAAGGAGGGGGGAGCAAAAGTGCCCTTAGAAATGCTTAAAAGCAACAAAATATAAAAGGGAACAAAAGTTGTACAAGTTCTCAGCAGGACAGAGGCCACCTTATCAACCAGGGAGTGTTGTCATAGAGATAAACAGGAAATTGGTGCTGAAACAACTCAGCTCAGTGGGTGTGCGAGATGGGTGAAGGGGAGAACAGAGCCTTAGCCTTGGGTCAGAAGTTTTTTTTCATGGGCCAGGGAGTCTGTGATGCTGAGATTTGAGAGACAGAAAGTATCCCTTGGTCACCATCTCTGGCCAGATCAGGTCCTTTCTTAAGTCTTGGTTTATAGAGTCTCACTCTCATGTTTTGAACTGTAGTTCTGAGTATTTTGTATTCATTACTTCACAGGATTCTTAGAAGAATCCTGAGTCAGTCATCAATATTTCCATACTCCAGAGGAAAAAAACTGAGACTCAGAGTAAAGCAAGGGATGAGACAAACTCCAAAGCCCTTCTAGGAATCTCAGCCATCATCTTCTCTTGTCTGTAAAATTGGTATAATAAATTGACCACCCTGTGCAAAGGGAAGGAAAAGCCAGCTGAAATGTGTTGGGGGTCAGCACCATCCTGTCTTCAACTTCAGCTGGAAAATTCAGGAATCCAGGAGAGAAAGTGGCACTGGAAGGTGAGTGGAGGTAGGGTGGGGGTGTCAAGCTGTATGTCTTCTCTGGCCCCACTCCAGTCACACCTTCCATTCCTATGAATTGCTCCCCCTTCCTAGCCGGCACTGAATTTATTCCCAAGGAATGGCTTGCATAAGCCAACTTGGGTCAGGTCCCTTGGCCCCTTGCCTGCAGCCCCAGGAACTGGCTTCTGCTCCACCCCGCAACTTGGCCTCCAGCCATGGGTCTCTGGCTTCTGCCGAGTCACGTGGCACCTTGGTCCTCTTTGGCCTGCTTCCTTCAGGATCCAGACTAAACTTCCCCCTCCCCGTTTCCCTCTCTGCCCCTGTCCCTCTGGCCAGCACGCAGGCTCTGAGGGGCAAGTTCTGGGGACCGGAGACTCATCTCAGTCTCTCTGAGGGACCTCAGGCCTCAGATGACCCGCCTGTCAATGGGGCCTAGACTATCCTCACTGCCTGCTCTTGCCTTGTTTCTCCCTACTCCCCCATCCTCCTATCCCCACTAGTCTTTGGGCCCTTCTGTGGGCCTAATTCCCTTGGTCCAGGAGACTAGGAGCCTTAAGGGTGACTTCTACTGGTCTGAAAAAAAAAAAAAAAAAAAAAAAATATATATATATATATATATATATATATATATATATATGAGCTGGCAGGGTGAAACTGGCCAGCCTCTGGCATCAGTCAGTGCAGGTTCGAATCCTGCTTTTCCACTGAGCAGCTGCTAATTTAGAAACCCTCATCTCCCTGGACCTCAGCTGTCCCCTCCGAAGTGGGGCCCTGCTGCAGAAGAAGGGCATGAAGCATCTAGCAGAGGGTCTAATCAGGCCCCATGGGTCTCCCCCGCCCGCCCCTTTCCCCAGCAGGGTAGCGGCACCACCCACCGCTCCCAATCTCCGTCCCTCCGCCGCAGGCTCCTCCTCCATTGACATCAGAGCCGCAGGCGGGCGGAGGGAGCAAGCGGAGCCGGAGCAGAGCCCAAGAGAGAAACGGGCGGGCGGGCCAAGCGCGCAGTGGCGGCGGACCGCGGCCGGAGCTCGGCACCAGCCACCTTGGGCCTTCCAGCCAGCCCCGCGGCGGGGCAGCTGCAGGTACGGTTGGGGTCTGCCCGCTTGCACCCCTGCGCGCTGAAGGGGCAGCAGGAGCCTCCAGCAGCTGGTACCCTCGCCCAAGGATGGGAGGGGGTGCCCGGGAGGGCTGCACCCTGGAAGGACAGGGCTGGGCCTTTCTCCCCGATCTCTGTTCTAGGACCAGCAGGTGCCAAGGAGGCCCGTGGAAAACTGAGAGGTGACAGAGTAGGGTGGGGAGAGGTGGTCAGTGCCCGAGCCGGAGTTCTTCGGGGGCCTGAATTTGCAAGGGCGTGGGCATCTGGTTATAGATGTGTGTATGTGGTGGGGGGGCCGTGAAGGTGTCCTAATGTCAATGCTGATGTGTGGATCAGACATGGGGTTGCCGTGCTAATGTGTGAGGGTACCCTCATGGGTCGTGGGTGGGATGTCGCCATGCGTTTTTTGCTGCAGAGTGGTGTCCAGGTACAGTGTGCTGGTGTCTGGCTCTAAAGATAGTTAAGTCAGAGTTGGGGGTGGTGTTGAATTGTGCGGTACTGTTGGGGTTTGGACTATAGGAGCTTCTAGGGTGTGGGTGAGGAGCTGGACCGTGTGAGGTATAAGTGAATTGGGGATGTCTGGTGGATGTGAACGTGGGTGTATGTGTGGATGTGTTTTGAAAAGTGAAAGGGGTCTGAGGAATATATGGATGGTGCCTAGGTGTTAAGGTGTGAGGCTGTCTGGGGAGTGTCCTGTGCACATGTATAACCAGGTGCTGGGTCTGGGAGGCAGGGGTTTGGGTTTGGGGTTGTGGAGGAGGCTTGGCTGGAATGGCTAGTACAGGGTGTGGACTGTAAGGGTTATGATGTGCCTGCCTTCAGATGGTTTAAGACTGCCTCTAGAGCTTATCATGAAGTCTCCTCTCTTAGAAGTTTCTGTCCCTGGGAAGGGTGGCCAGAACCCTAGGAACAACCTCCCATCCAAGGAGTGGGATCTCACACCAGGGCTCTGGTCAGGGCACCTTCCCCTCATTGTCCCACAGAAGAAACAGAAAAGGAAAGCATCCTCCCTGAGACCACATAGCATACTAGGCTGTTTTGGCCTTACCTTCTGTGGTCCTGGGATGGGCACCAGTCTAGCTTCATATTGGAAAGAGTAGTTGAGAACAGCTCCTCCATGGCCTCTGCCCTAAGCAAGCTTAGCTTGGGCCCCAGCTGGGTGTCATTTGGGCCACTCTGGACCCATCACAACCCATTTCCTCAATCTCCCCTGTTCTCCATCTGAAAAATGGGAAGAGAGCTCACCCTGTCCTGAGTGATGAGACAGAGGCCTCAGTGGGGGGAAGATCCAAGCTGGGTCAAGGTAAGATGAGGCCAGGAGGGGACATACTGGGTGGGACCATTTAGGGAGTCAGGAGGGAGAGGCCTGGGGAGCTCCAGCTGTGGCTGTTGTTGCCTTAGTAACAGTGAGAAAGAGCTATTTAAAAACGTGGCTGAGATATTGCTGGAAGCCCAGGCTGCCGGAAACCTGATTTCCGAGAGGCCAGGGTGGGGAGAAGGAGGAGGGAGAGGAGACACCCCAGCAGTTCCCAGGGTAAAGCTGGGACATGACTGGTTCTGGGGATGGAGGGATCCTCCAGAGCCCTATGCATCTTCAAGTTGTCCTTGGGTTTTATCTGTTGCCCTTCCAGGGATCAGGGTTTCTCTGGGTGTTTGGATTTGGGGAGGGAGAAACTGGGAAGTGAACATGAATACAAAAATGAAGGAATGCATGACTTTGTTGAATAAAGAATTTTGCTGCCACCATGAAATATATTTCTCAAGGCAAAGAATTTGCTGAATGGACGTTGTTGAATGAACAAATGACTAGTAAATGAATGAATGTTGAATGATTTTGTCAAATGAATGGATCAAGGAGTGAATGAATGCAGGATGAAAAACTGGATGGGGCATGTAGTGCATTCTCAGAGAAGGCTGAACCCTATTGAGTCTCCTTCCTTCATTCTCCTTCCAGGAGCCCTGGCTGTGGCTGGGGGGCAGTGGGCCATGCCGGGGGCAGTGGAAAGCCCCAACTGGAAGCAGGCAGAGGACATTAGGGACATTTATGACTTCAGAGATGTTCTGGGCACGTGAGTCTCAGGGTGGGTTGGGAGGCTGTTTCTGAGCTGGGGGTAGAATTGGGAAGGGCCTCACTAGCTGGGGGAGGCTGAGTCCAGGATGGTGCTTCCTCTGGTCAGCCAATCAACATTTCCTGCTTCCTACAGACTAGGGCCTATGGCAACCTTCATGACACAGAATGGACCACACTTTTCATTTCTGTTTGGCAATGGTTGGGACAGGGACTGTTCTTGCACAAGCAGTTTCTAATGAAGAGAAGAAAGTGGGGGAGAACAAAGGGCCATTTATCCAACTAGTCAAGAGCTGGGTGTTCTGACCTAGGTTTGGAAACTGCATACACAGCTCTGTTACTAGTACTGGGTCAAGACTTGAAACCAAAGATGAAATTACTAGTTATCCCTGATTATTGAAATGTCACCATGAGGGATGCTTTTGACTTATTACTTCTTATTCTCCCCAGCAAAGCTAAAGATGTGCAAAGAATACCCTTGAAAATCTTCCTTAGTCAGTGAACTTAAAGTATAAATGGATTTATCTGTTCCTCAGAGCCTACTTCTTAAACTTTGGTACACACACAAATCCCTTGAACTCTTTGTTAAAATGCAAATTCTGACCCAGGAAATCTGGGATGGGGTCTAGATTCTCCATTTACAAAAAGTTCCCAAGTAATGCTAATGGTTCTTCAAAGTTCTAAGGGTATTATTTATGACTCAAATTTGCTTTAGCAGAAAACAATGAATGAATTAACCATGCACATAGTAAAAAAGCTCAGGGGATTTCAGGCCTGGTTGTATCCAGGGATCCTCATGTTACCAGGAATTATCTTTGATTATAATTCTCAGGTCTGATTTCTTCTGTGCTATTCAATCCCAGACAGGCTCTTGCCAGGAGATGGTAAAGATGGCCACCAACCACTCCATCCACCTTGGGCTGGGGATGTGGCTCAGCAATATAGCACTTGCCTAGCAAGTGAGGCTCTAGGTTTTATCCCCAGTACTATGAAACAGATGGAAAACAAATGAATGAATAAATAATATAGGAATAAGTAAAAAATAAATGAATAAACAAATAATATAGGAAAGAGAACCTCATTCTCACAGTACCAGTAACTTGGCTTATACCACAAATAGTATGCCAGGGGCAGACTATTCTAACTGGCCAGGTCCAGGTCATGTGGTCACCTCTAGAGCCAGTGGGTAGAAAAGTATTTGGTCTAGAGACATACAATCCATAACGGATGGAGGAGAGGCTGAAGGGAAGCAGGGCTTCCAGAACCTCACCTTTGGAATCCTCTCTCCCTGCAGGGGGGCCTTCTCAGAAGTAATCCTGGCAGAAGATAAGAGGACTCAGAAGCTGGTGGCCATCAAATGCATTGCCAAGAAGGCCCTGGAGGGCAAAGAGGGCAGCATGGAGAATGAGATTGCTGTCCTGCACAAGTGCGTGGGCTATAGCTTGTCCCTGCCCCAGGGTGACCCTGCCTCGACCCCTCCTGCCCTCCTCCTTCCCCTACTTTTGGAAACTCATTCAACCCTCCAAGCCTCAAAGTGCTCATTTATAAAGCAGGAACAAGAACTTCTGCTGGGCAGGGTATGGAGAGCACTTGAGGCCCTTTATTTCAAATGGCTGGCACAATAGCTAACATGACAGACATGACTGAGATGTTGGGGATTAATCTGTTCAGTCAGGTCTCAAGGTCAATGCTTAAACACAGCTTGAACTCACATATCTTAATTACTTTATCTCTGGACCTACCTTGAGTTCCTCCAATATATTAAAGTCACTCAGCAAGTTTAAAACTGTCTGCCAACCCCTCTTGTCACAATGGACAACCAACTGTTCTATGAACTGCTCATGCCAAGAAATCTCCTGCTCTCGCTGTAAATCTTATAATCTCCATTTCCAATGTCTTTCCTGAACTTCCCAACCACCCTGGGCAGGGAAGAAACAGATCATTCTCATTATCAAGGGGTGACGGTTGGAGAAACAGGCCCAGAGAGAGCAAGGGACCTTCCCAAAGGCACAGCAAGTTTCTAAAAGAGCCAGGTCTTCCTCATCATAAAGATCAACTACCAGCCAGGTGTGGTGGCACACACCTGTAATCCCAGCAGCTCAAGAAGCTAAGGCAGGAGGATCTTGAGTTCAAAGCCAGCCTCAGCAACGGCAAGGCGCTAAGCAACCCAGCTAAGGGCTGGGGATGTGGCTTAGTGGTTGAGTGTCCCTGAGTTCAATCCCTGTACCCAAGGTCAACCACCATTATCAGTTCATTTATTGTTTACATTATGCCAGGCACTGTGCCAAGCTTGTCATCTGAATTATCTCAATATGATCTTTTTAAAAAAATATATTTTTAAGTTGTAGGTGAAACTTTATTTTTATGTGGTGCTGAGGATAGAACCCAGTGCCTCATGCTTGCTAAGCAAGCACTCTACCACTGAGCTACAACCCCAGCCCCTCAGATTTCTTTCTTTTTTCTTTTCTTTCTTTCTCTTTTTTTTTTTTTTTTTTTTTTGTGGTGCTAGGGATTGAACCCAGGACCTTGTGCGTGCAAGCCAAGTACTCTACCAACTGAACTATATCCCCAGACCTTTTTTTTTTTTTAATACCTTTATTTTATTTGTTTATTTTTATGTGGTGCCGGAGATTGAACCCAGTGCCTCAGGCATGCTAGGCAAGTGCTCTACCACTGAGCCACAACCCACCCCCCCCAGCCCCTCAATATGATCTTCATACCTGGTTTTTGAGAGAAGTACTATCACTGGCTTCATTTTATAGACAAGGAGACAAGCTCAGTGGGGTTACATTGAATTCTATCTGTATTACTGAGCACCAACTCTGTCCCAGGGCCAGAGAACACTGAAGACTGAGACAAAGTCTCTGAACTTGTGGGACCTGACCCTCTGATGGGGAAGGCTGACAAATGGGTAGACACAGAAAATTCTTAGTTAGAAGTCTTCTACTGATCAGTGCTATGAAGGGAAAAGACATCCAAACAGCATGTGACAGATGCAGGATTTGGACCCAGTTCTATAGTATGCTCAAGCCCAGTATTTGTACTGCTGCCTTGCCTTCTAAGAAATTTTAATAAATCTTGGTACATCTGCTTTTCCAGGTGGTGATGGGGGGAGATCCTTGGTTGGCTTGCCTGGGTCTGCTGGCACTGGGGAGTCCCCAGCTCTGAATTGCTCTTTTTTCCTCTCAGGATCAAGCACCCCAACATTGTAGCCCTGGATGACATCTATGAGAGTGGGGGCCACCTCTACCTCATCATGCAGCTGTGAGTGGCCCTTCCCCTGCTCTGCTCACATTTCTCTCCCTGCTGTCCCCACTTTCTTGGCCAGACTGTCCTGTCCCCTACTGCAGGGTGTCAGGTGGGGAGCTGTTTGACCGCATTGTGGAAAAAGGCTTCTACACGGAGCGGGACGCCAGTCGCCTCATCTTCCAGGTGCTGGACGCTGTTAAGTATCTGCATGACCTGGGCATCGTCCACCGCGATCTCAAGGTGGGTGTGAGCTGGGGAACAGTGAGCAGGGGACATGGGGGCAGGGCCTTTGGAAACCCCTCATTGTCCGCCCTTGGGCTGCTCTCACCTCCTCACTGAGCCTCAGCTTCCTATCTGCAGACTAGACCTTGTGACCCCCAAAGTGCTTCTCTCCATTAAAGTTCAGACACTCAAAGCCACACAAAAGTGAACTGGAATCCTACTCCTCAGAGACAATGATGGGGTGCATGTTTTGTAGTACATCTCATTCTGGCTGTGCTACTCCATAACTGGGCTCTTAGGCAAGTCACTTTACCTCTTGAGGCATCAGTTTCCTCATCTGTAAAATGGGTTTGTTCAGACTGACCTGGAAGAGACGGTGGGAAGGTGCAAATCCACCAAGTACTCCAGGGCCTGGCATACAGTAACTGCCAGAACTTTTTTAGGGCTTTGCAATACACACCTGAGGTTTACATAAAAATTCCTTCCCATACCCCTGGGGCCCTTGTCCTTTCTGGAACTTTTGGCCTTCCTGAGAACTTCCTTGCATTTCCAGCCAAGATGGTAGCCACAGTGGCTTTTGTGGGGGATGAGGATCCCATTGCTTCTCAAGGGGTGCTTGGGACGGTTCTGCCAGCCTCTGGCCATCTGACTGCTCCTTCCCCCTCCTGCCTGCCCTTCAAGCCAGAGAATCTGCTGTACTACAGCCTGGATGAAGACTCCAAGATCATGATCTCAGACTTTGGCCTCTCCAAGATGGAGGACCCAGGCAGTGTGCTCTCCACAGCCTGTGGGACACCAGGATACGTGGGTGCGGAGGGCCCTGGGCTGGGTCTGTGGATGCGGGAGGAACCAGAAGCTGCAGGGCAGAAATTTGTCACTGCCATGTCCCATTTTCTCCACAGCCCCTGAGGTGCTGGCCCAGAAGCCCTACAGCAAGGCCGTGGACTGCTGGTCCATTGGGGTCATTGCCTACATCCTGTAAGTGGGGGTGTGGCCAAGTAGGGTGTAGCTCCAGAGCTGACCTTTCCCCTGCTTTACTATTCCACCCTGTTATTCCTTCCTTCCCTCCATCCATAGTTAATCTACCTATTAATTACTAATATCACTTCATTCAATAGATACTATGTTTCAGGAACTGCGCCAAGCATGAGCACTTAGCAGAGAACAAACCAGACCAAGTGCTGGCCCTTGGGGAGCTGATATTGTAGTAGGGGAGACAGAAAATCAACAAGTAAATAAATCTATACAATAACATTAGATGGCAAAAATGAATAAACAAAAAACAGGAGAAATGGGGATTGCTACCATTTCAGATAAAGTCAGGGAAGAGCACTTTCTGTGGAGGTGACATCTGAGTGGCCTCTTGAATGAAGTGAGATGTGGGGTAAGGTTTGGGAAGAGGGAACAGCAAGTACAAAGGCCCTGAAGATGGCAAAATTGATCAAAAAACAGAAAAGACCAGTGTAGCTAGATAGGAGCGAGCAAGGCAGGGAGGGGCAGATTTTACAAAGGGGTAACTCTTTTCCATGAGTCCTGCTTGATGTTTGGGACTGCCCCAAAGCTGTCCCAGAGCCACTGGGCACACTGAGAGTGGAAATCAGGATGAGTTTCTTCCTGCCCAGGCTCTGCGGTTATCCCCCCTTCTATGACGAGAATGATGCCAAACTCTTTGAACAGATTTTGAAGGCCGAGTATGAATTTGACTCTCCTTACTGGGATGACATCTCTGACTCTGGTATTTTGGATTTTGCCTTCTTTCGCTGGGCCCTGCCTCTGGCGCCTTCCTCATCTGCTCTGGGGGGGGGGGGTCTCCCTAGTCAGGTTCCCCAGTCCCAGAATAAGTTGTCTGAGGTCAGAACCCCCACCTCAGGGGTTTCCCTCTGCTTGGCTCCTAGTCTGAGAAACTTGTAGGCATTTATTCAGTCTTCAAACATAGTATTTTTGAAAATACCTCCCCTACTGACTTCCTAATGCCTAAGACACCACCATAATCATTTTCATCCCTCTTTTTGTGCCCTCTATTAAAAGCAAGCCAATGAAGGCATCTCCAGTTGTTCACACATACTGTGAATATACTGAAGGGAGTCTTCTCCAGAACATGTTTTTGAGAGAGAATGGAGAGAGCTGGGAGGCTGGAGTGAAGTGGTGTGGTGCATGGACAGATCTGGCCCCTATGTCTTGCTTTGCGGTCAGACCAGATGTCAGGGAGTGCTGTCCTGGGGGTGTCCACAGGCACTGCCATGCGGTATGTCTTTGCTTTTGTCTTGGGGGTTCAGCCAAAGATTTCATCCGGCACTTGATGGAGAAGGATCCAGAGAAGAGGTTCACCTGTGAACAGGCCTTGCAGCACCCATGGTGAGGAAAGTCTCCACAGACTGGGGGTGGGGGTGAGGCCTGGCCCCCCAGGCCTGCTTCTACCCTTACTGGCAACCCTCCACATATACCCATCCTAGGATTGCAGGAGATACGGCTCTAGATAAGAACATCCACCAGTCGGTGAGCGAGCAGATCAAGAAGAACTTTGCTAAGAGCAAATGGAAGGTGAGTCCATAGCTCTAGTCCGGGGTCCCAGCCTCCCCAGGACTCCTCCCCACCCTTGCCCAGGCTGTTTGCACATTGCCAAGTCAGACATGCAGTAACCACAGGGCTACTTTCTGAAAGACCTCGCTCTTTATTAAATAAGTACTTCTGACACTCAATTTGAGAGGGTCCCTGATCTCCAAGTCTAGAGGGAAAATAGTAAACTTAGAAGGCATTTGATGCAGCCTATGAGTTCCAAGAAGGGTCATAAAGGTGGTAATGGCCTGAAGAATCTGTCAGTTGAGTAGCAATTAGACACATGGAATAATGTCCAAGGCACAGAGAAGAGGGGTGCAAAGTTCCAGAAGCAAGAGAGTGGAGCTGGCCACCCAGAAATGCACATGATAATCCTGGTTACACTGGAGGGGCAGAGGAGACTGACTGGCAAGAGGGAAGGCTAGAGAAGTCAGTAAGGGCCGCACAACTCAGGACCTCAAATACCATAGTAGAGCACCAACTTGACATTGAGGGTGCTGAGGAGCCCCAGAAGGATTTCAAGTAAAAAAATGGCCATTTAGAAAGAGCTCTCAAGTACCAAAAAACAGCAAAGAGTGAAGATTGGGAGACAAGTAGGAGGCTGTGGCAGAGATACAGGCAGGAGATGGGAAGGACTTGACCTTGGGCGGCAGTAATAGGAATAGAGAATAGTAGCTGAGAACAACAATCATTTAGGAGGTAGGATCAACAAGAAGTGATAGTGGAATGGATTCTGAGGGTGTGAGTTGAGATGTCAAGGGCTGTCCTAACTTTCTGGTTGGGGACAGATTAGCCTGGAAATTATCATAACTGTGATCCCAGGAGCAGGATGTGTTTTGGGGGGAATGCTTTTAGTTTTCAACATGTTTTTTGAGGGGTATATAGGAGAATCTAGGGGGATATGATGAAAAGAAAATTACATACATAGCCAGGAGTGGTGATGTACATCTATAATACCAGCTACTCGGGAAGGTGAGGCAGGAGGACTGTAAATTCAGGGCCAGCCTGGGCAATTTAGAGAGACCCTGTCTCAAAATAAGAGGGCCAAGGTATGTAACTCAGTGGTAGAGTGCTTGTCTGACGTGTGCAAGGCCAATATTGAAACAAAACAGAAAAACAACAACAAAAAAAAACCACAGAGGTTAAGTTTCTTGACCTTTCTATACCTTAGTTTCCACCTATGAAATTTGTGATATTAAAAGTGCTCACCTGAGAATTTTGGAAAGATTAAATGAGTCACTATGCAAAATACTTGAAACAGTGCCTGACACACATGCTGTGTAGTGTTTGCTATTACGTATGAATATGAATAGTTTTATTTATATGTATACACATAAACAAAGAATGTTTATGTATACATTCTATATATATATATATGTGCACACATAATTGAACAGAATTTCACAAAGCTTTGTAGAGGCTGAGCACGGTGGCACATACCTGTAACCCTGGTGCCCTAGGAGATGGGGATTGCAAGTTGGAGACCAGCCTGGGTAACTTAGTGAGAAACTGCCTCAAAATAAAGTTTAAAAAAGGGCTGAAAGGGCTGAGGTTCTAGGTCAGTGGTAGAGCACCCTTGGATTCATTTTCCATTATGGTTTAACAGTATGGTTTAAAAAAAAAAAAAGCCTTGTTTGGGGGTTGGGGGGACTTATAAGTGTCACTAAATAACCCCTGAATGAAGAACAAACAAATAAAAAATACCATTGAAAGAATTCTACTGCCAGGCCCTGACTATAAGCTCCCACCTTCTCAGAAGTCCCTTCTTCCCTTTCTCCACAGCAAGCTTTCAATGCCACGGCTGTGGTGCGGCACATGAGGAAGCTACAGTTGGGCACCAGCCAGGAGGGTCAGGGACAGACGGCGAGCCACGGGGAGCTGCTGACGCCAACGGCTGGGGGTGAGGAGCAGGGATGCTTGGAAGGGTGTGGGTGGGCCACGAAGAGACGCCCAGCTGGAGTGCAGGGTGTGCCCTACTGCCAACTGTATTCTGTCCTCCCACACAGGGCCGTCAGCCGGCTGCTGCTGTCGAGATTGCTATGTGGAGCCAGGCCCGGAACTGTCCCCCACAATGCCCCCGCAGCTCTAGGGCCCTGGATCTAGTCAGGGTTTCTTTTGTGGGAGGGGCTGGGGGTAGCCTACTCCCTTCCCTGGGTGAACTGGGGAGTTACCCTACCCACTGCCCTCCCCACCCCTTCCTCTCACTCCTCACTGCATTTTCCATACAAAGGTTTCTATTTTATTGTTCCTTCTTGTAATAAAGGGAAGAAGATAAAACCATACAGCTCTCTCTCCAGAATGGCCCCCACCCTGTCCCGTTGTGCAAATTGATTGCTTATTTGGGGTGTGCCTGGCACCTGAGGTAGTTTCAGAGAGCCCTCCCCAACATAAGCCTAAGGAGGATGTGGGGAGAGAAGCAGGGAACGGAGGGGAAAGGTTTTGGGGAATTCCTTTGTCCAGTGCTCCTTGCCTAGACTTCTGGCCCTTTAGACACCTTTTTGCGCTTTGCTGATGGCTCCTGGGAACGGTGGGGTTGGTGTAGGTCAGCACTGAACAGCACCTATGGGAGGGGGAGTGTGTGGGCAGAAAGGTACACTGGTTTAGGAGTAGAGGGGCTGGTGACAGTGCAGGAAGGTGGAAGAGTCCATGGGGGTCAGGGCTGGATTGGTTGGAGAGGCCATTAGGGTCACCTGGGATGGTGGAAGTGAGAGTCCATTGGGACAGACTGTTGAAAGAGTCCACTAGGGTCAGGGACAGGGAAGAAGTTCTTTGGGGTCTGGGCTAGAGAGGAGGGGAAATCTAGGTACACTCACTGCTTGGGCCCAGCCAGCATAAGGTCCCCACAGGCGCCGGAAAAAGTTTCCTAAATCAGAAGTGAGGAGGCTAGATTAACTGGCCCAACCTGCCCCCCAATCCACAGAGGCGGGGATTGAGGAAGAGGTGATTAAGAGATAAATTTCTAACATCTCAGCCCAACGCCCCAATGTCCCACTCTCTCCTCACCCAGTTCCTTGTTAGCCTGAGGGCTGGGGCCCTTGGCCCGGGATGTGGTAGGATGCCAGCTGTAGTCACGTTGGGCTATCTGCCACACATGGACGTCCACGGGCACAGCCTGAGGTTTTTCTAGGGCCATGAGGCAGATGCAGTCAGCCACCTTTGACAAAGAATGTGCCACTGTGGAGGAATGGTAGGATCCAGCCACTGTCCTCCATCTATTCCTAAAGCCAACTGCTTCCTCCTGTACTCTGAGGTCACTATTGTTCTGTATTCTCAATCGGTATGTATTGATTTTTCTAAAAGTGCTACTGAATAATCACTTCTGTGGCCCACATTCTCACCATAATCTAGGGAGAAGATATTACCATACCCACTTAAAGACCACTATAAACTTCCCTACCATTCCTTCTGGAAATTTCTGTATACACAGAGCAACATACACATGCACTGACACACACAGCCTTTCTATGAAGGCATTTAAAGGGTAAAGTCTTTCATACTCTCCTGGCACCCTGATTTTTCTAATAAAAACATTTGCTTTTATCCTTTTTCTTTCGGGCCCTGCCTCCAAAAGCCAGGCCTCCACCCACCTCCACCCACCTCTCAGACCTGCCCTGTGTCTGACTCCCTCCTCTCAGTGTGAGTGGATGGGAGAGCTGCTACCTTCTTTGGGCGCCTCACCTTGGTGCCCACCCCAGGCAGGGTGCAGAGGGCCTTGTGTGCCTCCTCATAGGGGGCTTCTCGAAGCTGCTGCAGCCAGGCCAGACCACCCTGTTCTTCCAGGATGGCTCGGGCACTGGCACTCACATATTGGGCACGGTACCCCAGACCCAACTTCCTGAGGCGAGCTTCCACCTCCATACCTGTGGGGAGTGGGGAGAAGAGCAAGGATTAGGCATCTTGGAGTCCTTCTTATGCAAAGAAGGGATAGTATATGAGCTCTTTATCCCAAGGGAATGCTTTTTTTTTTTTTTATTTTAATATTTATTTTTTTGACAGACACAACATCCTTGTTTGTATGTGGTGCTGAGGATCGAACCCGGGCCGCACACATGCCAGGCGAGCGCGCTACCGCTTGAGCCACATCCCCAGCCCCCAAGGGAATGCTTTTCCTAAAGTATCCCTCTCTCCTCACTGCCCTCTAGGAGACAGTAGATAAAAGTACGTGCCAAGCAAAGGAAAGCATGGGTTCTCCCCTCTACAAGTGTTTTCTGAGCATCTATTACATACTGGGCTCTAGAGAGAGATGGATGCGTTGCCTCGGAAGAGCTCCCTATTTTGAGTTTCTTAACTTTTCCCAAGAGTGTTTACAGTTATGACCTAAAAATATTATAGTAATAACTGCAACTGCTTCTATTATCAAGTTCTGGTATCATGCAAGGGCTAAGTGCCTTAGGTACATTATCATCATGCTTTCAAGGACCCCAATGACAGCACTGTTATTTCCCCATTTCCCAGATGGAGAAAAGGAGGACTTAAAAGAGGCAAAGTAATTTGATCAAGAAAGGACATAGTTTGCTTATAATCCCAGCTATTAGGAGGTTGACACAGGAGGATTCTAAGTTCAAGGCTGGCTACACAACTAGGTGAGACACTGTCTCAAAACACAATTAAAAAAGAAAGAAAGAGGGGCTGGGGATGTGGCTCAAGTGGTAGCGCGCTCGCCTGGCATGCGTGCAGCCCGGGTTCGATCCTCAGCACCACATACAAACAAAGATGTTATGTCTGCCGAAAACTAAAAAATAAATATTAAAAAAGAAAGAAAGAAAGAAAGAGGCCTGGGGATATAGCTCAGTGGTTCAGTGCTGGCCTAGCATGTGCAAGGCTATAAGGCCCTGAATTCAATCCCCAATTCCACCAAAAAAAAAAAAAAAAAGCAGCAGCAGCCATGATATAGATGGTATCTTATACCCAGGTCTAGAAATCAGTACCTGTGTCCCCATTACTCTTTTTTTTTTTTTTTATTAAAGATTATGATTTTATTTTTTATTTTTATTTTATTTTTTTTAAGAGAGAATTTTTTAATATTTATTTTTTAGTTTTCGGCGGACACAACATCTTTGTTTGTATGTGGTGCTGAGGATCGAACCCAGGCCACATGCATGCCAGGCGAGCGCGCTACCACTTGAGCCACATCCCCAGCCCCCCATTACTCTTCACTGTCTCATGACTGCTGTATTAACCAGCTCCCTAACCCCTTCTTGATAGAAACTTATTTCCATGCTATAAACAAGAGAAGACTGGAGTGGTGAATAAATTCCTTCCTTTAGGTCATGACTACTAAACTAAGAGCTGAGACTCAAGACCAGGTTTCTAAGCACCAAAACAATTCTGTTTTTCTTCTGAGGCAGGTTCTTCCTGCTATGCAGTCCCCAAGCACTTCCCCTAGCTTAGTTCTCACACCTACCAACTGATACACTTGCTTCTGTAAAACACTTGCCTCAAAGGGCTGCTGTGAAGATACCCTGTGTTCCTGAGTGCAAAACTGTTGGGTTTACTGCAGTGATAGCAGCTTGAGTTTTCCATATACTTCCTGTGTGCCAAACACTGCTGAGTGCAGGATGTGTATTCTTTTATTCAATTCTCATAATGACTATAATTATCCCATTTCACAGATGTAGACACTGAAGCACAGAAATGCTAAATAATTTGCCCAAGTGACAGGGCAGGGATTCAGCCCCAGTGAATCTGTCTCCAGAATGTGTGCTCTTAACTCCAAACTACTGAACACTGCATACAGATATTTCTCTGATGAGGCATCAAAACTATTGGCAAAAAACACACACTAGACCGGGGCTGCAGCTATATGGTAGCGAACTTGCCTAGAAAGCTCGAGGCCCTACCTCGAGGCTTGAGGTTCAATTCCTAGTACCACAAAAACAAAACAGAACAAAAGGCACAGACTAGTAAGGTGCTGGCATTTTTTTTTTTTTTAAATTTGGTACCAGGGATTAAACTCAGGGGCAGTCGACCACTGAGCCACATCCCCAACCCTATTTTGTATTTTATTTAGAAACAGGGTCTCACTGAGTTGCTTAGTGCTTTACTTTTGCTGAGGCTGGCTTTGAATGCAAGATCCTCCTGTCTCAGCTTCCTGAGCTTCTGGGATTACAGGAGGCGCTCACATTTTAAGGAGGTACAGCTGGGTCTCAACAGACCAGGCAGGGTGGTTCTAGATGGGGAAAGTGTTTGGGAAGGAGGAAACTTTTAGATGAGAGATGGTGACCACAGAAAACTGAACAGATATCCTTGTTCAAAAGCTGTATAGAGGGCTTGGGGGAAGGGGATCCACCTACTCACCAGCCAGGGCTTGCAGGGTGGGGAAGCCATGGTAGGTGACATCATCAAGCTGAATGAGCCGAGGTCCAAAAGCCTGGCACAGCCGCTCCACCATGCCAGTGATGCGGGTAATGTTGTTGTTGGAAGAACAGATAAATGAGAAAAGGCATTCGATGGGGTCAAGTCTCAGCAATCGCACACCTGGAGACCAGAAAGGCAAGGGGCAAGAGAAGCATCTGCTGTAGGTAGTGGCTTCCTCCCACCCTCAGATCAGATCAGGGAGAACCCAGGATAATGACGGGCAGCACTGTTAGAGAAAACACCACCAGACTTCTCATTCCTAATAGCATCTTGTGAAGTCCAGGTTACTGATATAGAAGCCACAGTATAAGCACCGTGTGGGGAGGAATTTGGATCCAATTTGTTCTTGCTACATTTTAGTCACATAGCAGAATGAATGAAATCACCTGCCCCAAGTCCCATGGCCAGGATTAGGCTCCATATTCTTGTCACTTCACTATGGTGATCAGCAGGATAATAATAATAGTAATAATAATTACAACGTGTCCGGTACAATCCTAAGTACTTTACATATATTAGGTCCTTTAATCCTCATCAAATCCTATGAAGTAGATGCTACCACCACCATTTTACAGATAGAATTTAAAACATTCTCAGGTACTTAACTAATGTACCTGAACCCCAACCCTTGCCCCAGGCCTGTACTCACCTTGGAATTTCTGAGCCATCTTTTGGAAATGGGAGTCCACGGAACTCCAATGGCTGTACAGTTGAGCCAGGCTGACATCTAGCTGGAAGTACTTGTGCACTGTCTCCAGTTCCTCAGGTGTGGGTTTGCCAATCCAGCCCTTGTCCCCTCGGTACACAGTGCAGTATAGCAGCTCCTCAGTTTGAGTCAGTGTCCACACTTGATCCGCCAGCACGCCACTCCAGTGTGCAGGGCTTTGCTCCTTCCACCTGAATTCCCAGTGCAGGCAACCCTAATACTCAGTTTCCCTTCCCACACACTCTGGGAGTCTCTCCTATTCCCAAATGCCCCATTTATAAAACTGACTTAACAGTTGCAAAGTAAAAGTAGCACCTTTGGTTTTATTGCATGATCCTAACAATATTGCAGACTTACTACCCCTACTTTGAAAGGCGGCAACAGGCTCGCCACCAGTGCTTATTTCCTTAATATCCTGAGAGATACTATCCCATCCATCACCCCCAACATTCCTTTGCATCTTTGGTGGGCTGTAAAAGGCAGTCAGGAACCAGGGTCCCAGGGGAGGAGCCTCCCAGGTCAGCCACTCACCGGAAGGACTGTCCCGAAGCTAAAACCAGATCCAGGCGCAGTTCAGAGCGTGGACACGGGATGGAGGCCCAGAGGGCCGGGCTCGAGGATAGAGTACGATGCGTCATGCTACCAAGCAGAAGGGACCGGGCCACCATTTCGGGCTCCGCTCCACCACAGCCCCGCCGGCTCAGACCCAAATCACCCGAACGGCAAAGACCCCCGTTTACACAATGACCATGCCGCTTAGGGCTTCGCCCACAGTCACCAAGGCCTCTCTCCCCTCTCCCTCTATTTCCTCCTGCTTTCCTGAGGGGCAGGTCCCCTCCCTTCTTCCTCACTTATCCCTCTACAGCCTCCAGAGCCTCCGGGCATTCACTGCAAAGATGCCCTGGATTTTGGAAGCTCGCGCGAGTGTGTTCTTCCGGCTTTTCCAGGGGGTGGCCTTGCCGAGACCGGAAGTAGAGCTCCGACTCCTCTTATTTGACCTAGTGGTAGCCAATCCGAGAAGGAAGTGGGAGGGCCAATGAGGAAGCGGGCGTGGCGGAGGGGGCGTGGCTTTCCGCGGCGCCCAGGCCGTTGGCGCGCTCTGGGCTCGCTGCCGACTATTGGCTTTTCCTCCGAGATGCCTTGCACTCGCCCCGCGCGCCTGCGAACCCGGTGCTGCGCAGGCCCAAATCCTGCCCGAGTTTCACCGAGCCCTCAGCCTTCCCCACCTCGTCCTCAAAGACCCTTTCTCCAATGAGTCTTCGGAGTCTGATACTCGCCCTCATCGGGCCTTCCTCTCATGACCTCTTTCTTCAACCATGAATCTGACCCAAGCCCAGTTCTGGGCCCTTAGAAGTGTCTCCAGAACCTGTCTCGGGGGGGACTCTCTCTTCAGCGTTTACCCGCTCAGCTGGTCCCTGCTCAGGCCTTCTCCTAGCCTCTACCGCGCCTGCAGGCCTCTTAAGTCCTTCAGAGGCCTATCTCTTGGCGAACTCCTCGCCACATCTGCTCCTTCCGTCCGGAGCACTCCTAAGACGGTACACCCCCCTGTTCACTCTTGTGCATGGAGTGAGGCCCACTAGGAGCCTTTCCGGAGGGCCCCAGGAGCCTAAGCAGCAACCCAGAGTACAAATGTGAAACCCTGAGGCAGCTTGTCTGGTCCAGTTGCCACTGCCAGCCGCCTGGACCCAGAAAAGACTGTAATTTATTACTTTCTGGAGGAAAATGGAAAAATGGAGTTAGGGGTCATGAACTTGGGAAGTTAATCTGGGGCATTTTCCACCTAGCATGGTGATTTGGGGTTGTATTTAAACGACTAGACCCCAAGTTCTTCAAGGGCAAGATCTGCAGGTGATTAATCTTTGTGTCTCATCCACAGCATGGCACAGCTGGGTGCATGGAGAATCAACAGATGAGTCTTTGACTTAAGTTTCATTCCTCAGTGGCTACAAGGCCTTGGGCAAACCATGTCTTGCTGTTTCACCTGGTAGGCATGCCACCTCACAGGCACCTAGCACTTGGAAGTCACTCCTTCAACAAATGTTGGTTGAATTGGAAAAGGTGCCACTTTTGGGGGTGAATGAAAGCAACCTTTACATCCTTTGTCTGTTTCCAATCTCAGCTATAGTGACAGAAGCACTTGGGCCATGCTCCTGGCAAAGGACTTGAATGAAGCCACCCACTGAAATCCACAAAGGAATCCAGAGTGGACTTTTCATTCCCAGTTCAGCAAACTAGTTGAACAGTCAGCTTTGCAGACAAATAGACCTGAATTCAAGTTTCCTAGCTGTGAAACTTTCTAGTTGTGGGAACTTAGGCAAGTTTCTTACTTTTTCTAAACCAAAGTATCTTTGTGGAGACAACCAGTCTATTATCTTATTACCCTACCCTATATTTGCTGTAAGGTATAAGTAAAATTGTGTATCTAGATACTTAGTACAAGGCCTTCCACTTAGAGTATGGCAAATGGGAACTCTCATATTTCTTTTGCTGTTGTGTCAAAACTAGCATGCATAGCAGTATCACTGGGGCCCAATTATATACCATCCCTAGGGCATAGATCTACCTCCCATTGAATCCCTGTGCCCTAGCAGAAGGCAAGAACAAAGAATTCTAAATAGACTGTTTATTTTTCTAAGAATCAATATATTTTCTTCCTTTGAAATAAATACAAACCAGTTTGAAAGGTAAGGGGGAATCTATGGGAAAGACAGGGAAGTGGGGACAGGCCCCAGTCTTTTTTTCTTTTTTTTTTTAGTACCAAATGACTCTGGCGCGACCCGGAAACGCAGTTACAAATGAGAATAATTTAAATTCTCCGATAATTACATTATTTACAACAGCAGGGGAGGGGGTCACCTAGTGCCCCTCTTCCGGGCTGGACAGACATCAATCCCACTGCTAGGCTGGGCAGATGCCGGCATGCCTCACCACCTGCAGGGGCCTCAGGCCTCTAGGCAGTATGTATTCTCCTGGCATGAGCGGGCAGAGGTGGTAGGATGGCCTGTTTTAAGCAGTGTCCTAACCTTGGCCCACCACCCTGCTCTACAATACCATGAGGTCACTGGAGCTCTTTCTGACCTGTGGGACCTCTCCTCTCCTTGCACTGAGTCGCTGTGGGCCCTTGGAGTGTTCTGTACAGTCCAGCTGCACTCAGGGCAGGAGGGACCTCCCCCACCCAGCTTCCCCTGAGACTGGCCCCAAGACCAGGAATGAGTCAGTGCAGAGGCCGGTGCCACTCCAGGACAGTGAGCAAAGGGAAGGAGAGAAGTCACAGGGCACTGTAGGTTGGGCAGTATCAGTCGCTATCGCTGGTCTCGCTGCTCTGTTCACCCTGAACCTTGCTACGGTGCTGAAGAGCCCTGTGGTAGGCGATTTGTACTGACTTGCGGATATTTGACTTGCGGCCCTCCAACATCTTCTCTTTGTCTAGGTCCTGGTTCACACCCAGAGGGACCAACTTAGTCCTGGGTAGCCACTGCCTATAGAGAAAGGTGAAGATCAAATAAATCATCTCAGTGAGAACAAGCACTAGCTTTCCTCACTCCATGCTTTCAAAAACACCTCTCCTCAGAACCCACACTGGCAAGAGACTGTTGGGCACTGGGGTTACAGAGACCCAGAGACACAGTCCTTGTCCTCAAGGATTTGCTCACAGCCTAATGATGGAAAGAGTCCAGTCAACAGCTACACTACGGGGTAACCACAAGGTATTTATGAGTGCTAAGAGGAGAAGCCCTGACCTAACTGTCCCATAAGCTCCAGGCAGACTTAACTAGCATTGAATATCATTGGCAGGCAATTAATAAAGACGAAATATGTATATGCAACAGAACAGGGATTTAGAGCCTAAATATTTATGTGGGCTTTATCCTTGATACCATAGAGGAAGAGCTGGGAAAATTAAGTCCAGAAGCCCTCTAAGTCAGGGTTGGGAGTCACCCCCATATCTGTCAGTCACTGGTGTTCCTATGGTTTCTAGCCACAGTTCTTTGTTAGCTACTGACCACTTTGCTTGTCAGTCTCATGGTCAACACAACCCTTTTGCTCAAAGAGCTGTTCTTTCATCCATTCCCCATGGATCTGTGATAGCCTGGTCTGCTGCTGGACTTTCCTGGCAGTCTGCCCCATACCACAATGGGTTGCATCTATGGCTGAGTCACACCAAATGCTCCCCACCTTTCTTACCAGGTTCTTTTGTTGTCAAAGAAGAGAACGAGGTAGAGATGCTCTCGGGCTTCCTGGGTCATCTGCTCCCCAAGTTTCAGCACCTCCAGTGGGGGCACAGGGATGGGAACCCCATGGTGGAACATACCTTCTCGGGGCATCTTTGGATCAATGATCTGAGGGTGTAATATGAGCCCAGTTTGCTTCCATTCAATTCCTCCCCAAAGCTCTCCCTTCCCAATAATTTGGAGACTACATCTGAAGCAGGGACAAAAAAGTTGTCATGCTACTAGGATTATTATGCTGACCCTTCACTTTTTTCTATGCTAAATTATTTCAGAGCCTAAGGGCAAAAAGAAGGACAAAGGAGTGACAGAGAAACTGACTAGAGGCCTCTATGGGGATACTCAAGCTACATCTTTTTCTACCACTCTTATCTATTAGGGAACCCTGGGTTCCACAGTTCAGTAGAGAGCAGGGAAAGTCCTACAATTGTGAACCTGAGTTCTGGGGTTAGAAAGCAAGAGGCAGGAAGAGAAGTGGAAGCCTACCAGAGCTGGGTATGATGGATACCCTCGGCATTTGGCCCACACCAGGTCCAGAGCGTCCAGAGGGGAGTCCTCATCCTCTGAGAGCCAGCCAGCTCCCCGACCCAGACTCTTCCTCACCACTTCACAGGAAAGGGAGAGAGGGGGTGGATCAGTGGCTGGGGGGCTGGCAAGGCCCTGACACTGAGTGCCCAGCATCCCTGGCTTTGGGTGAAAGTACTTACTGCTGTGGCCCACGCCGCGGCCAGTGCCCACGGAGTAGGCCTCATTCTCAGTGCCTGAGGTATCTTCACTGCTATCCTCTGGGAATGTGCCCCGAGAGAAGGAGGGCTTGCCCCGGCCTTGTTTTGAGGGTGTTGTGCTGTAGACAAAACAGTGGGAACTCAGTTCAAAGAAGAGGAGGAATGGAGAATGGCTTGGCACATGTCTTCTCTTTTAAGTCCCCAGTGTCTAGACTTTTGGAAAGCAGAGACTATATGAAGAATTTCAAACTCACACACTCTAGGGAGCTGGTCATTTTACCAAGGTGGGCTGGAATAAGGTGTGGGGAGTATATGCCTTGTTGAAAGGCGATATGCAGGCACACCAGGCACCCCTGGGATTGAACCCAAGGGCCTTTGATCACTGACCAACACTCCCCAGCCCACCTTATTTTTTATTTTGAGACAGGATCTCACTAAGTTGCCAGAGCTATCCTTGAACTTTCCATCCTTCTGCCTCAGCGCCCCTAGTCACTGGGATGATAAGCCTGTGCCACCATTGCCTAGCTGATCCTCTGATTTTTTTAAAAAGAAAAGAGATTGGGAATTTTATGTGGCATATCTGGATTCATTTTCTAAAAACACCATGATGGCCAAACAAAATGTATCTGCAGGTCAAATCCAGGACACAGGTACCAGTTTACACTCTCTGCTCTAAACCATTAGCTTAACCCAAGAAGGTTTCTTCCCTTCCATTATGACGACGCTGATGTATCCCATTTATTTTGCAGAGATGAGAAACTTGGGTTTGAGCCACCTACTCTAGGCTGAGATGGCTGCCACCCCACTTCTAAAAGGGAAACCTGGAAGGGCTCATTTCTTTGAGTCCTGGAAGGCAATCCCAGAAGGTAGCTTTGATCTGGAGGGCTGGTACCTGGTCCGGTCTGAGGCAGCACTGCTGCTGCTACTGCTGCTGGATTCAGAGTCTGAACTGCTCCGGGGAAGGCTGCAGTCATTGCGGTACACCAAGAAACTCTTCTTCACTGGCTGGTTTCCACTGCTG